GCCCCTTGGCTCCTATGAGCTTCGCTAGCCCCGTCTGGGACATGGGCTCAGGGCAGCCCATTGGAAGATGAGAGGGAAGCGTGTCTGCGGCACTTTGCACAGTGCAGGGGCTCTGGCCAGTGCTGGACAAATGCCAGCGCAGGGGACTTTGCGAGCTTGAGGGCGTGGAGAGGTTGCCTCCCTTCACATCGGCCTCCATTAGCTGCGGGGTGCTGAGCGACGGCAGCAAAGGAACAAAGTGGATGTCACCCAGAGTGGAATGACCAGAGGAGGTGCTGACGGCCCTCATGCCCGTTAGGGGAAGCTCAGAGCAGCTGGGTTCTGGGATGTAGTCTGTGGGGCCCAGGGCCTGCCACAGGGCCAAGGTGCTGGCCACCCCGGGCTCCATCAGGACAGTGCTGTGACATAACACCGGGTTGGCTTCACGTCAACGGTGCCGTCACGTCATCCACACTCACAGCGTGCCAGGCGGTCTTGGGCCCTGACCCCCCAGCCGTCACCCACGGATACCTTGCTCTGCCGTGTGGGGGATGTGTCGTCATCCCATTTTATAGACGAGGAAACCGAAGCTCAGGGACGCGAGGCTCTTGCCCGAGGTCACCCTCCTGGAGGTGTCAGTCTGCTCCATGGCCCTGGCCCTTGCCCACCATGGCTGTGCTCAGTGTGAGGTAGATTTCCGAGCGGAGAAGGCTGGGGCGCAGGGGCTCCAGGCTCCCCACCCGCCTCTCTGACGGAGCCCCCCTCCCCGCTGCCACCCCCAGTTCTGTTCCACATGTACGACTCGGACAGTGACGGCCGCATCACCCTGGAAGAGTACCGAAATGTAAAGTATGCTCCTCGCCCAGCCAGGGCTCCTGGCGCTTCCCCGCCCCGCGGCCCCGAGGGAGGCCCGCGGTCACCTCCACCTCGCGTCTGCCCCGCCGGCAGGTGGTAGAGGAGCTGCTCTCCGGGAACCCGCACATTGAGAAGGAGTCGGCTCGCTCCATTGCCGACGGGGCCATGATGGAGGCGGCCAGCGTCTGTGTGGGACAGATGGTGAGTGCCACACCGCTCCCCCCAGCCGGGGACATCCCAGAACCCCACCCTCCACCTCCCCCGCGGACTCCCGCCCAGCCTGGCCCTGGTCGTAGCCCGTTTCTGGAAGGCCCCAGAGGACATAGACCGCACGTGTCCTGCTTTCCTGACCCCCCCTGGAGACCCACCGGAGGTCCCAGCCCATGGAGAGCCGTACCAGGCCAGGGAGGCCAGGCTTCGGGGCCTGACGACCAGCTGTGTAGCCTCCTAGGCCCATGGGCAGCACCGGGCACCGTGACAGGCCGGTCCCTGTACAGCACAGGCTCATTTTACTTATTAATGAGTGGCTCAGAGGGGATTTGTGGCCTGAGGGGGGTTGGCAGGGAGCTCTTTCTTGGGCCACCGGGTCCGGGGGTCCTGAGAAGCTCAGAGTGTGTTGGGGGGAGGGAGAGGGAAGGAGAGGGAGGTGCACGTAGATGAAACAGAAAGGCACTCAGCCTTCGGAGCTTGGAGTCGATGGGGGCGGAAGACCCCTGGGGATTAGAACAGAGGCACTGCTGAGGCTGCCCCCAGAGCTCCAGGCCAGGGACGGGGTTAGAGCTGGGATGCGGGAGGATGCATGACATGCAGGGTCACAGTGGAGCAGAAATGGCCGGGCCGTCTGTCAGACACAACTGCCGTGCCGGTCAGGCCTGTGATGAGTGTGAACAGCCAGGCCACGGTTTCCCCAGCTGGCACTGCCCGACAGCTGTCTGGCGGGGGCGTCCTGGGTCCTGGCGGCTGTCGAGCAGCATCCCTAGCCTCTACCCACCAGGCGCCAGCCGCACCTTCTGGGTCGGGACAACCACAGATGTCTCTAGACGTTGCCCATTGCCCCTGGGGGGAGGGGCAGAATCGTCCCTGACGCGAAGAACTGTTGAACCAGAGAGTTGGAGTAAGTGCTAAGTGACAGTTGGCGTTTTGTCTGAGTGGATGCACGGAGTCCCCTGCAGGTCACCCCCCACCACCGGACACGCCAGGCAGGCCAGGTGTCCGCATAAGTCCTCTTCAGTCAGGTGATCATACAGCGTGCGCAGGCACTGTGCTAGGTACTTCATGCACGTTTTAATCATTTTATAGATTTTTAGCCTTGTTTTACTGGTGGGGAAACAAAGGCTCAGGGACATGAAGAATTGTCTGGAGTTCAAGGGCAAATGATCTTTGCTATGCTTAGTGGACTCCCTCCTGTAGGGCGGGGTCTCCCCCATGCAGCCCTAAACACTGGCTCTGAGCCCCTAGGGGGGCAGGCATGTGACCCTCTGATGGGTTTCGGGTGGTCCCCCTGAGGCCGTCCCCATCTTTGCCCCTGTGGTTCGAAAGTGGCTGTGACTCCAGACAGCTTTATGGCTTCGGGTTCACCACAGCCCGAACGGAAGGGTGTTTGCCTGCTGGAACCTGCTGTCTGAGCCCCAAGCCTGTCACCATGGGTCACGGCAGGCCGAAGCTTGCCCCCAGGGGTGAGGGCTGCGGTCATGTTGGTCATGTTATCGGCCTCTATTTTAATCTGTCTGCTTCTCGGGCCCAGGGGGAGGCTGCTGGCTTTGGCGAAACCGCCCCCCACAGTGAGTTA